AGGGTCCCACTCCACCCCCGCGCACCAAACCCCGCTGTTGTGACAGCTTTAGCCGTTGCTAAAACTCTCCAGCCTCAGTTAGGGCAGAAAACGCTGCTGAGAGCAGCGTTCCTCGGTGCCGTGAGGGTCACAGAGCCCCCTGAGAGCCCAATACAAACATAAACGAGACCTGCCACTGCCCTCGCTCGCCACAGAGCCTGTTTGGCAGCGCTTCAGGAATGAAAGGGAAAGGGGCTCCGGGCTGCTGCCCCTGCGCTGCCTCCTAAAAACCTCGGCAGCCAGACAGGCACATGCCCCAGGGGTGCACTTGCTGGGGCGGAGAGGGCTGGCACGCGCTCGGCCGGCTGAAGGGCTTGGCACGTCCCCCAGAGATGAGCTGGCGACCAAAAGGGCCTGACCCTGCCTGCTCCCGCTGGCTGGAAGGAGCCAGGAGGCAGCTGGGAGGCAGCTCTGCGCATCCAACGCTCCGGGGCACGAAATTCCTCCTCCTACCCCTCCGCTTCCCTGTGCCAGGGTGAAACCAGGGGAGCCCCAAGAGCCACCCTGGGGGGTGGCGGCCAGAAAAGGGGACTCCAAATGCACAGAAAGGGATTAACGAGTTGCGAAGCAAGGGGGGATGTGGTCCTCAGCGCTGCGGTGTGACGGCAGGGACAGGGTGTGAAAATGCCAGCGGGGAGCGAAGGGAGGGAAGAAGGGTGCGAGGGAGGGAAAGGGCTCTGCAGAGCTCTGCGACACCGCGCTCGGCACGTGCTGAGCTCCAGCGCAGGGCTGGTGCTGCCGGCACGCTCAGCCGGCACCGGGACAGGAAGCCATGAGCAAAGCCGCGGGGTTGACAAACTGCCCAGAGCCCAGGGAGGGCTCGGGAGTTCCCAATTACGCCCTGGCCCCCAGCTCGGAGCCAGGACGTGCCGGCAAGAGCCAGCCCAGGTGCCGTGCCAGGGCTTGGGGTGCTTCCCAATGGCCCGGCATCAGTGGTGGAGGGGAAGGCTCCTGCCTCCAGGCTGGAGTCAGAGCTGGGCTCGTCGAGGGAGAGGAGCCGGGGGCTTTCTCCTGGCTCCCACAGGAGGGAAGATCTGCATCTCTCCAACCTCGACCCCTGAGACATCGCAGCCCCACGGGGTGACGGCCCCTCCGGCTGCCAGGTCCTGGCAGGTGATGAGCGGGGCCAGACGCTGTGCCACATGATGCCCGGGAGAGCGGCCGGACGGTGAAACCCTGCACCGCTCGCGCCATTGTTTTCCTGGAAACGGCGGCCAACAATAGCCGGGCTGTGCCGTTGTCACGCTGCCCACGCGGCCTCCGCCTGCCCTGGGAGATGAGGCCCCCCTCCTCCTCTGGAGCTCGGCTCCTCCAACGGCAGCCGTGACTCAGAGCTTCCAGGGGACACGCGCCCACCCAATGTCCCGCGCTCGAAGGGCTGCTCGCTGCCACCAGCCACTGTGGCTCTGCCCCCAGCTCGGGGTCCCCATGCCCTTCTTCGGGAATCCTGGCTGCCCAGCCTGCTCCGTCCCTGCTCCCAGGCTGCCCGGGACATCCGTGCCCAGGAAGAAGCTGGGACCGGGCCCTGCCAGCAGCCCTCTGTCCCCTGCGTGGCCGTGGGTGGCCCCCTGCCAGGATGTGGCCTTCCTGGGGCCACTCTCTGCTCCCAGACACCCGCACAGCTTTGCCAGGAGTGCACTGAGCCTGACAGGGACCTTCCTCTGTCCCCAAGGCTGCAGGGAAGGGCTGCAGTCCCACTGGGAGGGCAACAAAGGGAGGGTAGCCAACCCAGCTCGCGCCCTGCACCCCATACATACGTCTGCCGCTTTCTTCTCCGCCAGCTCCAGCTTCTCCTGGGCATCTTTCAGGGCCTCGGAGTATTTGTCCAGCTCGTCCTCCGTCCCCTTCAGCTTCTTCTGCATGGCGGCAAGCTCGTCCTCCAGCTGGAAGGGCAGCAGCAGTCACTGCAGGTGGACGCCTCTCCGAACCCCCACACGGTGGGACAACCCTGCCTACCCCATCCCAGGCTCAGCTCTGCCCCACGGAATCCCTCCTGCCCCATCCCGGGGCCAGCTCTGCCCCACAGTGTCTGTCCCTGTCCCACATGACACCAGCCGGCAGGGGCTGAGCCCTGGGCAGCCCTCAGGATGCCCCACGGCATCATGACGCGGTCCCTGAGCTGTGGGACGGTGGCAGCTCTCACACCCCTGTTCCCCTTGCCAGAGTCTGTGTTGGGTCCGAGCTCATCATGGTCCAGCACGGGGAGAAGCCATCCCCCAAACATCCCCGGGCTGGAGGCTTCTGCTGCCCGCCCTACCTGCTTGCTCCGCTCCTCCGCCTGCTTCTGCTCAGCCTCCGCCTGCTCTGCCCGGTCCAGGGCGTTCTCCTTGTCCAGCTTCAGCATCTGCATCTTCTTCTTGATGGCCTCCATCCTTGCTGGGACACGGGTGCCGGCAGCGGGGCGGCAGGCGGCAGGATGGGGAAGGGGCCGGCAGGGCAGGAAGGCTGCCTGCCGCCCC